GACGAGCAGTTGATTCGAGAGGACCTTTATAAGAAACTGTTGGCAAACCGTAGGCGTCGAATCGTATTCTTTCTTTTTCAATTGTCTCTTCATCACCTTCATGACGCCATCTACCAAACAAATATCGTGGTGTTGTTTCTGGCACAGATGCAGATGGCTTACCGGTCCGCTTCTGTTCAACTTCTCGTGCCCCTGATAGACCAAATGATCCAGAGACTTCTTTCTCCTTTTCTTGTTTGTTTAAATCCAATTCGTCCTCAGATGATTTGCGGACTACTCGTGCTACCAGTCGGACCTTTTGCTCACCCTCGTCGCTTGAGATGGATGAAGATTTCTCCTTTCTCGGAGATTTCTGCAGGTGGTGTCGCGCTTTCTTCCCAGTTAAATGTTCGCCCTCAGCCGAGCGAGTGGAGACCTTTGTATCTTTAGTAGCATCCCAGGACTGACCATGATGGTAAGCTTGGGCATAGTCGCGCAATGGCTTTGATTCAAGCTCAGAATGACGAGCCGTTGACTCGAGAGGGCCTTCATAGGATCCTAATGGTAGACGATAAGTGTCAGATCGTATTTTGTCCTTTTCCACCGTCTCCTCTTCACCTTCGTGACGCCATCTGCCAAACAGCTGAGGTCTGTGGGTTGTTTCTACCTCATGTGTAGATGACGTGAACGCGCGCCCCTGTTGTTCACCTTCCCGTGATCTCGGCCGGTACGGGACAGGTGCTGGGGCTTTGAAAGGAAGCTTATCAATGTCCTTCTGGCGATTTATCCTGTCCACTGGACCTTCGTACTTTTCTGTACTCGCAGGAGTTTCAACTCTTGTCGCTTCATGTTGCTTTCTTTTCCCGGCTTTCCAAAAACCAAATATTCCACTTGATTCCCCATCTTTTTCGGTCTTTTTTGAATCTGCCTCGTCCTCTGATGTGCTGGGTAAAACGCGAGCTATCAACCTAACCTTCTTAGTTTCTTCTTCGCTTCTTGTGGGTGACTTTTCTTGTGCTGCTGGAGATTTTTTCAAATGAAGGATAGCCTTCTTTTCAGCACCATGACCGCTGGCTCTCTCCTCAGCAGCATGATCGTCTTCGGTTTTTTTCGAGATGTACTCGTCTTTTTTCTTGTCATGCTCACCTTCAGTGATTTTCCCCACAGGTTTGACTGCACCCCATGACTGACCGCTGTGGTATGCACGAGCATAGTCTTTCAACGGTACAGGTTGTAATTCCGAAGCACGAGCAGTCGATTCAAGAGGGCCTTCATATGATGTGGATGGCATACCATAAGATTCCAGTTTCAGTCGCTCTTTTTCAACAGTTTCTTCTTCGTCTTCATGACGCCTACCAAAGAGATGAGGGCGATAAGTCTTCTTTGACGTATCAATAGAAGACTTGTCTACATGCGCCCCCTTATCTTCAATTTTCCCCATTGCTGAGCCGAGAGAGCTGGGTGACGCATGCTCCTTCTCTGATTTTTTTGGTTCTGGCTCGTCATCAGAACTTCGTCGCACGCGCGCTATAAGCCTGATCTTTCTAGTGTCTTCTTCGCTTGGGACGGGTGAAGGTTTTTCTTTCACTGGAGACTTTTTTGAATGTACAATAGCTTGTCTCTCAACATTGCGTTCGCTTTCTTTCTTCTCATGCTCCTTAACATCAGACTTAGAGACGGAAACTTTTGCGCTCTTACCAGTTTCCCATGACTGACCATGGTGGTACACATGAGCATAGCTCTTAATTGGAACTGGTTCTAAGTCGGATTGACGAGCAGTTGATTCGAGAGGACCTTTATACGAGTTAGTTGTTATTCCATAGCTTTCAGGTCGTACTTTATCCTTTTCGACCGTTTCTTCGTCACCTTCGTGGCGCCATCTGCCGAAAAGATGACTTGGTTGAGTTACTTTCGAAACTTCTGCAGATTTCTCATGAGTGGCCGTAGTTGGCACTTTGAAAGGAAGTTGATCGATGTCTTTCTGTCGCTGGATTTTAAGCATAGGCCCTTCGAACTTCTCTGCAGTTGGATGGTATTCGTCCTTGGTCTCTGGACGTTGTTTACTTTTCCCTTTTTTCCAAAAACCAAACAATCCGGATGAATCTTTTTCTTTCGTCAATTTATCCGAGTCAGCCTCCTCCTCAGGCTTGGGGGGAACTCTTGCTATTAACCTGATCTTTCCAATCTCTTCTTCGCTTGTGACAGGTAAAGTTTTTTCAACCACAACAGGTTTTTTGAGATGTAGATCAGCTTTCTTTCCATGCTCGCGGTCCTTCTCGCTTCTAACCTCAGTGCGTTCTTTTGCAACAGGCTGAACGACAGGAGGCTTTGCTTCTCTACCAATGTTCCATGACTGACCGCTGTGGTATACTTTAGCGAAATCTGTTAATGGTGTGGGTTGTAATTCAGAAGAGCGAGCGGTCGACTCGAGAGGTCCTTCGTAAGAGTTTGACGG